TGTAGTTAGAGTGGAGAAATGAGCGACACTGAAGCAAATGTAGTGCTGCCAACGACCAGCTCGAAGGATGATGACATCGTCGACAGAAAAGGTCATTCAACTTTGGTGATTTGGAGATATTTTGGCTTTTTACAATCAGACATAAAACAGAGCACTTTAAACTTTGCAGTCTGTCTGAGCCATCTTCTATGTATGTTTTATCACACTGCAGTATTTAATTTTTCTATTAAGATATTTATTTTGTAAATTTTACTCATGCATATTTTGACATAAAAAAGACTTGAATACTCTCTACCTCAGATTTGTTTAATGTTTCTGCTGTTTGGCAAGTGTTTGTTCTTAAAATAAAGAGTTGTTTAATTTACCAATTAACTGTCTGGTTTCTTCGACTTTCACTCAGGAGAAAAAATCTGCCTTTAAACTTGAAAGAAATAATAATTTGACATTTATCGTGATAATTATCGATATCGACTGATATGGAAATTTTTATCGTGATAATGTTTTTGGCCATATCGCCCAGCCCTATTCTCACATATGTATAACATCTACCTTCTTCATCTTGTTTAAAGTTCAAAATTATTTTCTCTTAACAACTCAACCAATTAGACCTCTGACAGAGGTCTCTGAATGCCTAAATATTTTATTATTATGCTCCTGCAAAATGCTAACATTTGTAGTGCACATAAATTCACAAGTCAGAAAGAACATTGCTCTTACAAATTGAAAATAGGCTTTAAAAGTGTTTTTATAGTCTGCTGACAATAGGATTAATCCACCCTTTCTGTTTGACAGACCTCACCTGTAATTCCTACACTTTTTCTACTCTTGATATGTCTGAATTCTAGAGCTGAGGGAAAGAGAGAACGCTGGTGTCTTCAGTTTTCTGGGAGATATTTTGCAAAAAACTTATTGATTGACACAGACTTTCCCGTGGTTCTTGCATCCCGACGTATACAACTCAAAAGTTCTTGAATGTGTTCTGTGCTGCATGCTGGTATAGCGGTTTGTGCGGCTGCCACACTGCACTTAGGTCACACGTTTAATTTCGAATTTGTGTGGAGTCTGAATCGTATACATGCTTGCGCCGGCTGCTGCTGTGCCGCCAGCTGTGTATGACGTCATCGCCAACTTGTCTCCCTTCTCCAACTGCCGCAGAAACGAATCACCTGGAGACTTAAAACACCTGGAGTCGGTTTACGATAACAACCGTTCCCGGTGTTCTTTAGAATAAATGCTCTGCGTCGACCGGAATCTCCGAATTATCCTTTGTGTGTACTGTAATGCTCCCAGATTCATCGGGGTATGCGCCCTCGCCGCTGCCGCCTTAGGTCGCCCACTCCCACCGCTGGGGACTCAAACCCGGGCTACCGGCGTCATTTAACGGGACCCAGCCACTTGAGCCAAAGGGAAATCTCCCGTCAGCCGGGCAGCTGCGGTCCCTGCTATTCACAGAGAAGGGTGGTGACGTCACCGCGCTGATAAGCCGCCTCGAACATCCAATGGAGGCTGTGTGTGTTACAGTACTGTATGTGCGCTCTGTGATGAACTAGTGTCTCACTTTGTACACTGTGCTTTCAGACTCCCACGTTGCTCCATTCCTTGTCAGGAATCATCTGATAATGGATGGATATATTTGTTTAGGAATCAATTCTTTAATCACTAAAACGGCTTTAATATTTAAGTGCACCTTTTTTTTTCAGATAATTTAATTCTACAAAGTAGGCTAAAATATTTTACTGACACACAGGTATCAAGGTAATTTGTTTTTTATTTAAGGTAATAGACATCATTCCTAAAATACTGTAGCGCCACGTATTTAGACATGTGCACGCATGGCGGGCTGAGAACAGCGCAGGGGCGGGACTAGTAGGGCGGAGGCTGGGAGACTGCCTCTTCCCTTCGTGTGTGTTGGTGAAGGTGCACCGCTGGAACCCCTGTCCTTGTGTGTGTGTACCTTTCCCGGTTCACGTTTAAGTTAATAAATGTGTTCAACCCTATTCACCGAGTCCCATGTCTGCTCCATTCCGTACCGAAACCCGAATTCGTTACAATACGTTTATTTGTTCTCATGTCTAAATGTAAAATTTTAAATTGTTTTGCTACGAGAGATCTGATCGTTTAAATTGTCAAACGAAGCGAGTAGCCAAATCTAAGGCAGGTAGGCTACTTATAGGTCTGTTAACGTTTGGAAAAGGGGTAAAAATTTATGTTTGTGGTGTTAATCTACGGTACGTCGTCCTCGAGGCCCAAGCATTAACTGCATGGTTACTGCATGGAGTAACATGGTGTTTCAGCTTTTCAGTTCCTCTTTCTGACGCCATAAGGTACATCATATGACAATACTTGTGTTGTAGTAACTGTTCTGTAGTAACTGGATCGCAGGCGCTGAATAAGTGCAAGATTTTATTTTTATCATTACACAGTCCCATAGTCATGCACAGCACTTTGGTCAATAGCATTTAATCGTTTTATACGGAATGCTTCAGATAAAACTGAATCACCTTCGTATAATTTCTGGCTAAGGCTGTTCTTGTGCTTAATTCTCGATCATAATTTCTGCTGTGCGAAGGATTCTTAGTCGTGTAACGTAAGACGTGTAACACACAGTCAAGTAACATAAGACATCTGTAAAAGAAACGGACTATTTATCAGATACAAGTGCGTTTTACTCACCTCATTTTGATTTAAGCTTATAAAGATTGCATTCTGCCCTTCACGTAAACTGAAAATGAAACGGGTGCTTTCCCTGCGTCTTCTCATTGGATGAGTTACAGGACTTAAAAGAACCAGTCGCAATTTGTCAAAAACGAAACGTATTCCTTATTATTGTGAAGAATGAAATGATCTTAATCAGCTCATAGCGTTTATTAAAAAAAACTCTTTCGGCATGGGGGGTGATCGTTTTCCACCAATTTTGTCAGTCGGGCGTAACCCGTGGTGCTCTTTTGAACGTTTTATGTTACAGTATATGGCAGACTTAGATCGCCGGACTGGAAACCTCGGAGGGGGGGAAGAATAGTAATCAACAGATGAATTGTTTAACTATGACCCATAGACAAAATAGGACAAGACCGAACAGGTAGAAGGTAACACTGATGTTGGAGGCTGGACATGAGGGGTTACAGTAATTGCATCACACTTTCGGTTTTAGTTCGCAGCTGCGCAGCAGACTGCAGAGTAGCTGATACGGCACTGTAGCAAATTCGGGTTACTGGGGTTTCTGCCGTTGCCACTCCCGCCCCATTTCGTTTCTCACCACATGGGGAATCGAACCCGGATCTCCAGCGTCCCTCAACAGGGATATTTTTTTCTCTTTTATTTATAAAAAAGGCAATAAAATATTTACATGGTTACAAGCAAGAAAAAGATATACAACACATCGTTAAACAACATCCATATACAAAACATACAGTAGAACAAAAAACAAAGCAAACTAAGGAAAGAGAGACAACAAAACAAAATACATATAACAACCCATAAACATATGCATAAAATACATTCTATATTCAACATCTAGTCATCCATTCTGAAAGCAACCATTGAACACCCTCACCCTGCAGGCCTTCCTCCCTCAGGTCCACGAAGATATTATTTTTTAGGAAGATCCTGCAGAAGTCAGCCATCCCCCTCTCAGCCCTGCAGTAAACCAGGCTGAGAGAGAAGCAGTCCTTCACCCTGGCGACGTACAGCCTGACAAGTCTGGCTTCAGGCCGTTGGACATCACTAGGTTCCTCCTCTCCCAGACAGCTGCCCTCACCAGGCCGAGACCCCCCCCGACCTGCGGTATCCAAAGAGGATCAGAGCTAAAGAAGACCTTCCTTAGCGCAGGCGGCCAACCTCCCCGTTATGCAGAAGGTGAGTGGAGGGAGGTGCCGTCACCACGCTGCGGCCAGCTCGTACAACCTGTTTGTGGGCTGTATTCGTTACAGTGCTATCTAGAGACCATCTCCAGCTCGGAGTTCAATTGCAACGAACGGAGACCTGATGAATTTGTGCTTAGTGCTCGGGGCACACCCCAGGAATTGAACCCACAGCCCCAGTGCTGCAAGGCAGCAATGTGATGTGGCCTGTGATGGACTGGTGTCCCGTCCACGGTGTATCCCGCCTTGTGGCCTTTTTCTGGCTCTGAAGAGAGATCCTGAAATGACGGACAAGACCTGTGCAAAAACAGGACATCTAAGAGTTTCCAAAACACTTTTCAATCCAGTTATTAATTTTGCAATTATTTTTACATACTTCATTTGAATGATTGAACACTTCAATTTAATATTTTGTACATACTGTAGCTTGGTACGTTTTATTTGTATTTAAATTGTAAGGTCAAGCGGAATCATTTGAGGTCCAAAGTTAGGCCTGGGTTAAGTGAACACATCAACCAATCAACTAATCAGAAGATCAATTTCAGTTCTTGATGGGAATTTTCTGCTGCTTGGTAGAAGGATGAAGCCTCTGTCATAAAAAAAGCCCCCAACAAGTTATTGTTTTTTGTAGTTACTGGGTTTGTGAAAGTTCTGATTAAACATGGGCCTTGGTTTTGTCTGTGAATGTAACTCTACACTGCTACAAGTGCAACATTTCAATAACACTTTGCACACTGCTCCTTGACTTGTAATTATATTAACAAAAAACACATTTGCACTAATGATCCTGAATTCCAAGGTCAATTCAAGCACACTTTGAGATGATTACTTTTATAATGCTATGCTTAATTGTCATCTGCTTAGTTAACTTCCGATGTGCTGTTTGATGACCCGTAAGGTACTGGAAGGGGGCCCGCGTGGTTAGTGTGTCAAATAAATACGGTCCATTTCCTGAAGCTGGAAACACAGTGGTATCAGTAGATCACGCTTAAAGACTCTGTGCAGTTGCAGACTAATTCACCATGATCAGGATCGTCTTGCTTTGTGCAAACTGCTTTAATTGTAAGTTCAATTATGGCTCTTTTTGTAATTATTAATAGTACGTGGAAGAATTTTCTGTTGTTAGACATTTGTGTCTTCCAGTTGTGCAGGTGTGTGCTGGACACAATGAGACAGTGCGGTGTGATCTATCCGGCCTTGAAGTTACCTGGTACAGACACAAGCCTGGTCAGTCCCCTCAGGCCATCCTAATTTACTCAGAGAAGTCCGCTCTGCCTCCATCTTATTACAATGGATTCCTGCGCACAAAGTTCAAGGCTTCCAGTGAAGGAGGATCTCATATTCTGGTCATTGTTAATGTCACTGAGGACGACACAGCGACATACTACTGCAGCAAGGAGAGTGGGGAGGTGGCAATTGGGAATGGATATCTGGTGACATTAATTGGTAAGATGACAGCAGGAATTAGATTAATTTAATTAATTTGTGTCTCATCAATAATAGTGAGTCACCGCTGTTCAACTAGAAGTGTGCCTTCTGACATGAGACTAAACCACTGACTGGAAAAAAAAGTTCGTTTACAATAGCTTGTATATTGTATCTACTGTATGCAGAATTTAAAATAGTAAATTATGCAATCGTATATTTAATATACTATTTTAAAAAAAGTACAATTTCTTAATTGCAATCTGCAAAGAATAGCTGGAATGATATAGACGAATGCAGTGTTATCATTGTGTTATAAAAGTGCTGGCAAAAATAGGACTGCAGCTGGTGAATGTGCCTGATTATTGTCATATACTTGTACAGTAACAGTTTATTCATTGGCAATTTAAGTTTGTTCACAGTTTATGTGAAACACATCTATTCTTAAAGAATAGTAATCAGTCATTGTATCCTGTTTTAAAAGCTGGCTCAATGAGATCTGTTACAAAGAGGATTTATTTCTAT